CTTCAAACTTCAAAATTTGCGGTTAATGATGGATCTTTTTTATTACAAACATGCCCTTTTTTGCTTCACAAATACATTCGTTGGTAGACTGGAGTGGTGTGGATTTCTTGTGGATTATTGTGATGTTTTTATCAGCTGTTTGGACTCTCATTCTGACGGCACCCATTCACTGCAGATGATCCACTGGTGAGCAAGTGATGTAACGCTACATTTCCAGAGGGTGACTACATTTTCAGCAAATGAAAAGTTCATAATTTTATTATATTATAGTCAAAGCTTTACTAGTGACCATTTTTGAAGGCCTCCTAATAAACAGAAACAGACTTGTCAAATTGTTTCGAAGACATAATCCACTACATTTTTCGAGAGTATAATTAATCGCGAGTTATTGACCAATCTCTATAAAGTCCAGACTTTACAGATCTTGGTACACACTGGTACAGCAGGACATTTTTATCTAATTATGCCCATATAGGGTGCTACAACTAAAAAAAAACTAAAAAAACTTTATTTTCTCTGACTTGAATAAAACCAGTTAATTTGCATTATTATATGGCATACATTTTTAGGTTAATTAACGTAACGCTTTATAGTGAAACAGTATTAGACAACTGCTTAATAGCCACAAAATGTTCTTGTCTCCAAGTTTCTAAGTATCTATATCTCTTGATGGACTGAAGCTATTGGTGTTTTGATACTGAATGTGGCTGTAATTAACTTTGAGAATATCCACAAATCAATATGTAATTCTAGACATGAACATATTATCCAGGGCATTAAATGCACATCGTCCTAAGCAAGATCCTGCATGATGACACTGATTGACCTTCAGTCCAGCTTTTAGCTGATGAAATACTAGAAACTCTAGATGGCGCAGTCCGATAGGTCTAGCTCAATCTGACCTGGCGACATCACTGTCACATGGCAGCTGATTGGTTCTCTCCAGTATCGGTAGCCAATGAGCTTACTGCTCAATATTCAAATACCTGGCTTTTGTTTGCTGTAGCAGTTTGCAGTGCACTTCAGAAATCCTCCACCTTCCCCAGCTCCACCTGTATAGATCTGCTAAGGGGGGATTCATGTATGCTATATGGGGGTTATTCATATGTGTTATATGTGCAGCAGCAGTATTTCTTACATGCTTACAGCAGCATGTTGTGGATGTATTGGCAGTAGCAAGCCTCGGTACTTGCTCTGCTGCAGCAGCAGCGTAGCAGATCTATTCCGCCAAGACCAAATACATTAACATTGTCATGTACATTACCATGCCAATCCCTCCGAGAGTTGTCATGACAGAACTGATATTATGCACAGAACTAATGGAAGTGCAACTAGCCATGTTAATCCTGTCATTCCATATTTTACCAATTGGATTTCAAAGTATGATTAACTCTTTCAAGTACGCCTGATGATAGTAGTTGTTTTTGGCAATGAAAATGGCATCAAGTTTCCTGAAGTCTAAGACTTCCTGACATTCCTGACCTGTAAAGTGTGTCTTGAGGCAGTATTTTAACCTTAAATAGAGCAGTATCCTTTGCTAATTAAAATGATAATATAACCAAAACATCCTGAAATAACCTTTAATTTTAGAAAGAGTTATAAAATTGTATTGCAATTTACACAACATGAAGCATTCATTTTTCTAAAACCCTTCGCCGTGTTGTATTTTTTAGTTTATTTTGATCTCCCTGTTCTTGGGTTAACACAGATGTCTTGTGAATGATTTTCCCAGTAGTCTGATACAGCAAGTGCTTCCCGTTTCAATTCCTTAAAAACGATTCCAGCCTCAAGAGTCTAGTCATTAACAGCTCTTTTAACACATTTTAGCAAATTTTTTAAAGCTGAGAAATCTCCAAAAAGAATCTCAGCTCTTGAATCATTTTAGGATTTATATGTGTTCTAACATCTCACAGCTGCTAGATGTTACAGTATAACCCCTCTAATGACGTTGAATCAAAATCTTTCAAAATGCTATAAAAACTAGTTTAGCCTTTTCTTTAAACTATTCTAAAATGATATTTTAGCCTTTTTTGTGATGTAATGTTGGCTTTCTACACTGTGGCATTAATAAACTATAATCAACTATCAAGAATTACTACTTCTGCTTATATGATCTTAAAACATTTTTTATTGTTGTCATGTTCTCAGAAGTTAACAGAGGACACAGGAGATGAAGTGGCGATAAAAATGTGCAGGGTTATTGAATAATCTATGTTGCATATGTTTTAATGCTCAGACTTTGTCCTGTACTTTGTTTGACCAGCACAAATTCAACAAGTCTTATTATACCAAACCAAAAGCAATGGAAAATTATTGCTTCACATTGTCCTGTGACGTAAAAACCTTGAAATGGAATTGAAACTTATGAAGACAAATAAACCACACAATTGTTAGATTAAACAACAATAGCAAGCATCGCAATAGCAAGGAAATAGTAAGTAATATAAAATATGAAAATATAATAAAAATGGCTTGAATAAATTATTAAATGACAAACTATATAAATGAATAACTAACACAGCAAAACATTTTATGTTTGTTCTCTTGAAGCTACACACAAATTGCTAATAAAGGAGTAGTTCACCCAAAAATGAAACTTAGCTGAAAATTTTCTCACCCTCAGGCCATTCAAGATGTAGATGAGTTCAGAACAGATTTGGATAAATTTAGCATAATATCACTTGCTCACAAATAGATCCACTGCAGTGAATGGGTGCCGTCAGAATGAGAGTCCAAACAAATGGATGGATTATGGACTGGGTATTTTAGCCAGAAGAAACGGTTTAAAGTAAAAACATCTTGATGAATTTGTTTCTTACAAACATAGTTTTTCACTTCACAAGACATTAATTGATGGACTGGAGTGTTATGGATTACTTGTGGATTATTGTGATGTTTTTATCAGCTGTTTGGACTCTCATTCACTGCAGAGGATCCATTGCTGAGCAAGTGATGCGATGCTAAATTTCTCAAAATCTGTTCCCATGAAGAATTTTCAGTTTTGTGTGGACTATTCCTTTAAGAATCCTTAGCTCCTTCACTGCAAGACCATCAACATCAATCCTCACAGAGTAAAGTAGGTAGATATGATATCCATATCTGCCGGGCAAAGTGAATCGATGCACATTAATAATTTGTGTTCATTTGAGAAGGGGAAGAGAGGAGAGTGTAAGTAACACTGCATTATACAAACCTGGCTGACGTGAATATTGATGATGACACTATGCATAAATTTAGCAGTCTAAGTACTCATTATGAAATATCCACCATTAAACAACACATTGAATTGATCAGACATGCCAGTAACTGTGTGTGGATTAATTTAAGAATAGTTTGGGGGGAAAATTGTCTCCAGAATTTAGCATAATATAACAAAACCCATCTTTGGGGTCATATGGGGACATGCATATATATATACTGTATATATACTGCATATAATATAGTCTAAGTATACATGCAATTTCTCTGTGTGGTTTTGCATGCTGAAGTGAAATGGAAAAATGCAATGACTCGACTGATGGAATGAAAAGTATCCTAGACAGTTGCCAGCCTTTGAAAACAAGTCAGTATCATAGAACGAAATATTTGGAGTGTTTTTCTGGCTGATGGCAAACTGAATATCACATGCATGCACGCTGAAACGCCTCAGGCTCTATTCCAAATCCGTTCCGCTAATGTGACTTAAATCAAATCTTGTTTGCCTACTATTTGTAACTGCCCTAAATCTGCACCAACGAGTGGCTATTGAACATTTTTTGGCTGGGTATGTTAACGATGTCTGCTTTTGTATGTATTTATTCAATGTAAAACAACTCCCATGGGTTGGAGCAATGTTTACGTGGGTTATGAATCTCGGTCAGAGAAAGTAGGTGCTTTTTTATTTCTGTCAGACATGCTGGCCTATATTTTGTATTGGGCCAATAAGAGCAGCAGGGCAGCTGCATGTTACAGGTGCTTTACAAGCATTTTTCTAGTGTTTTCTGAATGCTTGTGGCTCCAGTATTTCATTTTACTACCATTTTCGTCTATCTGCCCTATATATATATATATATATATATATATATACTGTATATATAAACACACACAACAACAACCTTGATTTATGGAACAGATCTCAATTGTAAACTAGAGTGTTTGATAGTGTGGGTGCTGCATTGTTCATGATTCAATAATATGAAGGAAGTAGCTCTTCCTGTTCCTGCTAAAACAGCTGTATGGCTTTAATAGCAGGTATTATCTGCACTGTGTGTGGTGGCATCGTGCTTTTATATATCAGCTTGGCTCCAGCCCAGCACATTACACTTTAATCATCTTTTTGTGTGTGTGTGTGTGTGTGTGTGTGTGTGTGTGTGTGTGTGTGTGTGTGTGTGTGAAATATGAAATAATACCATGGTAATAGTGATGTGTGCACATTTATGTACTAAAATGAGTGCAAAGGGAATGTGCGTGTGTGTAAGTATTAAAGAACGCATTATTTTAATACATTTATGTGTGTATCAAATATTGTGTGTGTGTGTGTGTGTGGCTGATTGTATTCTTAGTCACATACACGCAGCTCTGTCTGAGGATGCCTGTTATTCTCTCTATCCGTGAGAAATGATGTGGGTCACGCTGTAGAATCAGCACCCGCCATCAATCACAGCACATCTTACTCTGCTGTCACAATCGACTCGTTTTTCCATAAAACGGTAGACTTGTATATTTAGTGCTGCTCAGTTTTGGTGGCAATGTACTCTTCTAAGAAAAGTCAGTAAAAATACGGCCCAGTGTTCTGTTAACATGAAGGCATTTTCTGTATTGTTTTTTACAGGTGTTCTGTCAGTTTTTTTTTAATTACACATTGCATTATGCATAACCATTTTTCATTTAATTTACTATTTAATGTTTTTCTGCATTATGATAGCAGTTATATCACACAGACGTGGTTGACGAGTAATTGTCCTGTTCTTGATGGTTATCGATGAGAGAACGTTGTGTGATTTTCATGTGTCTGCTTTCAGGGAGCTGAACTTCCGTAACTTCACTCTGATTCAGCTGAATGAGGAGTTTTCTCGGGGTCGAGGGCTGGATGTGGGCGCTCGTGCTTGGAAGGGAGGCAACGTGCTGCTCTTCTTCTGTGACGTGGACATCTTCTTCACAGCCGACTTCCTGGACACATGCCGTCTGAATGCCCAGCCTGGTGAGAGAAGAGAGGGATCTATATATACAGTACATACAGAGCTGAGCCAATCTGGCAATTTGGACACTTAAAAATGGCTTTGCATTAGAAACAAAATATTGACATCTGACTCAAATGCGGCTAGAGCTTTTCTCAGAAATAACTTCCTTTTTCCAACCACTTCTGCATTGACTTTTAATCAGCTGTTGTCATGGTATTTAGTTGATGTATGAATCACTTCTCCAAGTGTGGCTAATAGACTAACCACAGGTGTAGAGATTCACACACAATTATCAACATGATCAGCAACAATTGACAAGCATGTTGTTTAGTGCTCAAATACTCTATTCTATATTCTTATTGTGAAATGTTTGGCTTGAATAGTGCACCTGTGCTAGCATTATTTAAAATAAATGAGTCTTGTCATATAAATGATTAAGCGTGGCTTAAATGTATATGTGTACGTATATGCTACTATTCAAAAGTTGGGGTTCATTAAGAATTTTTTTTAAAGAAATGAATACTTTTATTCAGCAAGAGCGCATTAAATTGATCAAAAGTGACATTAAGGGCATGTATAATTATTTATCATTTAAAATTAGAATGGTTTCTGAAGGATCATGTGACACTGAAGACTGGAGTAATGATGCTGAAAATTCAGCTTTACATTACAGTAATAAATTACATTTTAAAACTAGGGCTGTCAAGTGATTACAATTTTTAATCAACATGGTTTTCTGGTTAATTAATAGAATTAGTCACAAATTATTCACACTTAAATTTGGGCTTAGAAATTACCTCTCCAGAATATCATTTAAAGTCATTGTCGTGTTAAATGAGAAAAGCATTGAATAGACATTATAAAAAGCAGCTTTAGAAAGAAATATTTTTTTTTTTATTTAGAATTTATTACAAATAAACTTTTAAGGCTGCAGTGTTTACTAAAGTGGCATTTATGTATATTTACACAGACTGTAAAGAGACGCCAGGAATGCATTTAATGGGTTTTAAATGGACATTATTGGGTTGAATATAAAAAATGAATATTGAAATATGAAATAATTTTTAAAAAATTAATTAATTAATACTCTAATTATGTAACCAAAACTGCAGGGCGCATTAAATGTGTTAATTTTAATGTGTATTTTTTCCATAATTAGTCTCACAAAATTAATTCGACAGCTCTATTCAAAAAGTTTAATAGTTATTTTAAATTGTAATAATATTTCACAATATTACTGTTTGTACTGTATTTTCGATCAAATAAATGCAGCCTTGGTGAACATAAAAGACTTCTTTCAAAAACATAAAAAATCTCACCACCCCAAACTTTTGAATGACCATCTAATGATAAGTGCTTAAATGAGGAATATATGCTGTGCTCGTATCATAACCAGCTGTGTGATCTGACTCTGTTTTAGGAAAGAAAGTGTTTTACCCTGTTCTCTTCAGCCAGTATAACCCAGCTGTAATCTACGGCAGTCATGATCACATCCCCCCTGTGGAACAGCAGCTGGTAATGCAACTCATTTTCATGAGGAGATTAAAATGCTTCATCAAGTTTGATGTGATTAATTGATGCATTGTGATGGAACACAATCATCACGCTCACTCGGCATTGATATTCTGAGTGTGTAGATAATAAAGAGCTTGATTAAATGTACTGATAATGCGGAAAGCTGACATGAGACCAGGGGCCAAAAGGACATTTGCCACACCTGCTAATGCTGATTGAATTGTGAAAATCTATTAGCCTAAATATTTCTTACTGGCCATGACTATATTTTAAAGGGGTCATATGATGTTGCTAAAAAGAACATTATTTGGTGTATTTGGTGTAATGCAATGTGTTTATGCGGTTTAAGGTTCAAAAAACACATTATTTTAGGCGCCAGACTGTCCTTGCAAAGTTGGAACTGTTCTAAAACAGCCTTTGTGCCACAGACGCAGTGTAGGCTACTCTCACAGGAAACAGTCCTCATCCTCCATAAAATGCGCTGCACACATCTGAATATTTGGGTTGAACTGTTCTGGAACAGTGTTTAAACACAACTTAAACACTGATTTCTAGTCGTGTCCTCTTTTGGAAGACCAAACAAAGTAGTTTCGCTTTCACAACGAAACACACAGCAACTCCACAACATTGCAGTGGCGGCAACAGCAAGAATTAAAGTTACGCCTTCTTCCTTTCACATAGTGAGGTAGACATGTGGGGGCGTGTTAGAACGAGCCGTTTTAGGTAGGCATGGTTGACTTAACTTTTATAAAGAATATCTCTTTGGATTTGAGACTTTAGTCTTTGCAACTTTACAGATCTTCTTTATGCACCAAGCGCTTGTAACACTCCAAAGAGCAAGGAAAAATTTAAATCGCATCATATGACCCCTTTAAGCAATATTTATTTGAAAAAATAACAAAGTTTTTCCAGCTGTGTTAGTTTTTATCCTTTCTGATAATGAAAATGTTTTCATTTATTTGTAATTTTGGTTTTCATTAATGATAGTAACATAGTGTTTTTATCACATCTGCATCATTCTTTCAGTTTGTTATGTAGTTACTGGCAGCTGGCAGTTTTATTTACTCGCCAAAAGCAATTTCACACACATTTGGTGCTTGGCAAGTGTTCATTTTGGACTGGGAATGAGACCGCAGACAGTAGCAGACGACTATAAAAGAGTATTTTTGTGTTCATGCTCATCAGGATTAATTCATTTACAGATCATTAAGAAAGACACTGGCTTTTGGAGGGACTTTGGCTTTGGAATGACCTGCCAATACAGATCCGATTTCATCAATATAGGTAACCGTCCTCTGAAGCAGCTGTTGACTGACATGAATTAAATTCATTTATACGGTATTCATTTATACGGCTGGTCAAATGAATGTAAATAAGAGCAGCTGATGGTAGCACAGGTAGTTTAGAAATAAAGGACGAAGTTGTTAATGTATCTAGAATTTGATCTATAGCCAAATGTAGATATCCAGCCTGAGGTCATTTTGAATGTAAAAAGCACTTGAAACACTTACGCAGAGGCAGTAGAAGTAATATAGCATGAGTCAGCTAATGAGAACACAACAGGTCCCACCTGTGGGAATCAAGTGGTTCCCACGACTTAACCGTTCTCCTGTCTAGACATGTGTAACATCACGTGATACAACAATAAGAGCTGATATAGATACTGATGTTTGGTAGAGTATATGCATTTCAGGAAACACATGAACATAGACATCTCAGCAGACTGAAGCCAAAAATCCATACGCTCCATTAAGGAAGTCAATACTTCATTTATACGCACAATTAAACAAATACATACGCTACATCATGTTATACACTGCTGTTTGGCATCAGTAAGATTTTTTCTATGTTTTCAAAGAAGTCTCTTATGCTCACCGAGGCTGCATTTATTTGATCAAAAATACAATCAAATTTAAAATAACTTCTATTTTTAATATGTTTTACTATGTAACTTGTTCATAGTTCTTTTTCAGCATTTTTTAGTCTTCAGTGTCACATGATCCTTCAGAAATCATTCTCATATGCTGATTTGCTGCTCAAGAAACATTTATTATTATTATCAATGTTGAAAACAGTTGTGCTGCTCCATATTTTTGTGGAAAATTGATCATTTTTTCAGGAAATAACGTCATTCATATAAAATAGATTTAACTCTTTACTATCACTTTTGATCAATTTAATGAATCCTTGCTAAATAAAAGTATGAATTAATTTATTTAATAAAAACCATCTTACTGACCTAAAAAAATTTTATTAGTAGTGTAAATAGGAAATACAAAATGAACAAATATCCAAATTCCTGGACAAAACTACAGGAACAGCTGTTTGTCCTGAGGGAAGTTCAAGCTTCCCTTTAACAACAACAGGAGATGTGTGTAAACAAAGTGTTTATTCAAAATGTTCTTTCTGCGGATACATTATTATTGTTGCAGCTGTAACAACATTGCAGCCACATTAACAACACAGTGGTCAAATTTGAAATGTGCAACAGGTTGTTGCCTTAAATAAATAGGAGCTATTTTTGCATGATCTTTGCTAGATCCACAAAACATTCTCACCCCAAAGAATGAGAAATCTGTTATAATTTACTTCAGTTCTTTCTTTTCCGGAAAACAAAAGAAGATATTTTGAAGAAATGGAGCATAGCGATAGTTCTGGCAGGCCATGTTAGTCAAGCTCGCATCAGCTGACACTCAGCTGATCCACGTCTACCTATAGGATCGCGACACCATTCATAATTCCCTTCATAAGGTCCCTTCAGTCATTATTCAGCAGCTATCGCTTCGCTCAAGAACTAATCATCCACCTCCATCCCCAGCTCCTCCTCTCGTCCAGTCAGGACTTGGCATTGAATATATCATTGAGTCAGACCACTGAATCATGTTGTTAAAATAATCACGTAGAACATTAGTGGTATCTGCTACATTTATCATTGATGTTGGTTCTGTTCTGTTACCCTAGGGGGGGTATTCTGCTCTCCCTGCTCCTATCCATGCACTCACGGAGTGTTTGCCCAGAACAGAACCATTCCCCCAACCTAAAATGTATGCTAATCGTAAGTTATATTGACGATAGTGGTCCTGACAGAATGTTAGTAACCAAACAGTTTTGGTTCCCATTGACTTTCATTGTATGGTCAAAAATTATAATGGAAGTCAATGGGAACAAAACTGTTCTTCAAAATAACTTCTTGTGTGTTCCGCAGAAGAAATAAAGTCATGAAGTAAAGATGAATAAATAATGACAAAAATTGAATTTTTGGGTGAACTATGCCTATAAGAATAGTAGAATACATATTGAGGTTATCTGACAACATTTTTACAGTGCATACTGAACGTCGAGTCTGTGATGGAACAAACAGTTGTAATAATTGCATGTAATTATTTTAATAGTATTTTATAATGATTTCAGGATCTTGAGAAAGGTAAATGCATTAAAGGAGTCATATGATGCTGCTAAAAAGAACATTATTTTGTGTATTTGGTGTAATGAAATGTGTTTATG